ATTCGCAAATTAAATCAAATCTTTGGATTCGGTTATTCCCACCATCAGCAATATAAAGATTTCCGTCGACATCAAAAGATAGACTGCCTGGATAGGATAGTTGGTTTGTTTTTTCTCCTTGTCCATTTCCACCAATAATTAGTTCGCCTTCCTTCGCTTTACACCAGCGCACAATTCGGTGATTGTAACAATCTGCAACATAAATTTGACCGAAACCGTCAACAGTGATCCCTTGAGGATAATTCAATTGATTAAGGTTATTTCCGCAACCATTTCCACCAGCGACAACAATTCCTTCTCGGGCATCTTTTCTCCATTTCATTACACGATGATTCCAAGCATCTGAAACATAAACTGATTGCTCATCATCAACGAATATAAATTGAGGCAGATTAAACTGATCAAGCTGAGACCCTTTTCCATGTCCGCCAGCTACTAATTTTCCTTCGCCCTTTTCTCCAATTTTCCATCTGCGAACTTCATTCTTGTCATCGTCACAAACATACAGATATCCGTCTTTATCTATTGCTAAACTTGAACATCGGATGTTTTCGATGAGAATGTCTTGTTGATTTCGGTCCCACCACCGAATCACTCGTCTATTCCACGAATCAGCAATGATAAAAGAATTATTTTGTTTATCGACAATCACATCTATCGGATAGTTCAATTGATTTAATCTACTTCCTTGACCATTTTCACCTATAATAACTGTGCCTTCACGTCCATCTGGTTTCCATTCAACAATTCGATTATTTCTCCAATCCGCTATGAAAATATGTCGACTATCATCAATGAAAATGCCTTGAGGGCCATCGAGCTGATTCAATTCCCGTCCTCCTCCATTTCCTCCCGCCATAGTTTTTCCAGATTGTCGCCATTTGTTGAATTTAACTTCTAAATGAAAACACCTGCAGCTATCAGTTTCGATCAGTGAAGAAATCAGAATCAACTCACGAGATACTTTCAAAATAGTTGAAATTCGAGCCGAGAGAAGTTTTCCTTCTCCTGAAATTGTTAGTTTTTCCATCAATGCAGGAAAAGCGTCAAAAGGTGGAGTTAATGTTTCATAAGGAGGAATTTCTTCTTTCAGATGGACAATAAATAAACCGTTTCCTGCATTCCACTTGCCCACGACTTTGAAATAAGTTCCCGGAAGAAGAAGAATTTCTTCTTCATCTTGAAAATGTGAATGAGAACGAATCAGCTTGCCATTGAAACATTCGATATTAAAAATCGTTCGACTTCCATGTGTTCCGATGAATGCTTCCATGACATTTAGTTTTTCTGTGCAAGAACTCAATCCCCACCAAATGTGATCTTCATCATAGTCATTACTGAGATTTTGTCGAACACCTCGATAAACGAGTCCTCGAATTGATCGCAGTTTGAATAAATCTGTGAAAAATAGCTTCACATAATGAAACCAAACTATTAATGACTCTCGATTTTTCGATCTAAGTCTCTCGTTCAACAATTGGTATAAGCTCGCATGAGGTTGAGATCACTGCATTGTATAAAGATGGATTGAAGCTGATTCGTCCTGTGTGAGTGTATCCGAAGGTTTTCGACCATTGTATAACAGTTGAAGAGTAAAGATTTGATCGGTTCGACTGATGCTCTCAATGAAACAAGAGGATATTTTTCATAGCCTGCGATCGGCGTTAGATATTGACCGAGTTCTTTATCAGCATCGAGAAAGCGTTGAGGAATGAATCTTTCGGTCATAATGTAACCTACGTAATGTGTTTTGATCGTTTTACGTTATATCTTTCATTTTGGTTGCTTTAAAAGCTTGTTAAATAGTAATATTTACCCAATGATAAGATTTCATACATTTACAATGATGTTGTTTTCGAAAAGTCTTGGTTGGAAAGATTACTAGAGCAACGAAGTATACTCAATCAGTCAAGATAAATACTTTATCAGCACACTATTTGCCAAAGAAATATATAAAGTAATGTTCTTATTGTAATACATTGTAAGAGACTATTTCACATCGTTATTGCGATGGAGAGGAGGAAAGAGATTTCATATGATGTGCAAATTATTGACGACATCTTAAAAAAATGAGTTATAGAGTTTTCAGTTTGTGCCGTCGTCTAGTTAACAGTATAACTTATATATGTCTCATTATTTGAAAACACTGTTTGACTCGTGTTCTATGTAGAAATAAAACATAATATTAAAGAAGCACACGTTGTTCTCAGCGATGCATAACAAAACAAGCCCTTTGATAAACGAAATACTTAGCTTGTTTTTATTCTCAAAACTACATCCACGAATATCGAATGCGAGTAGTCCCTATTCAATAAAATGGCAAATATAACATCGATAAAAACAAGCGCGGGTGGCTCGATTCCAGTAGCAACTCAATTATGGATGTACAAATGTCCTACTTGTGATAGGGATATTGTTTCTTATACTTTTACTCCAAGTACAAACAACTGGGTTATGAATACAACGAACAATGCAACAATTTATGGTAATGCAATGCTCGAGCCTCCTGAAATCAACTGCGCCGAGCATGATCAACAGGTTCAACTTCGGTCATTAACTTTTAATTTTTAACTAAAAATTTTCTGAAACCCGTTTTTATTAATCGAGATTTTCGACAATACATTATGTGAACAAGTGAATGCAGGTCATGCACCTTTCGCGTTATTATTCTCTCGTCATAATTCCAATATGATTATTCCATTGTTTCGGCACTTGGTGAAGCATAATCAATTGTACGAAATTCTTACGGTATGATGACGCTGAAATGAGATACACGTAGAAATTCGATGCATAACTAACATATAGAATGATATTTCCGATATCAGAAGCTAACGTTTCTTGTGCTACTTGAATCGATGTTTTAACCATTGATGACGTGATTGCTAAATAGATATTCATCGTTGCAAATGGTATGATTGGAATGACAACGACGAAGATTTGTAAGAGAATCATCGAGGTTAAATTTCGTTGAAATGTTCCACGTAATCGAACACCAGTAATTGATGTAAGGTTACGATAAGTAAAGAAACCAGTGCTAATCAGTATTGTGCCAGGCAGAATACTAAGAAAAACCGGTCGAAGAACATAGTTTCCATATTGAACAATGTTGGAATTTGCTAGTGAACATTGTTTTGTAATACTACCAGCTGCTGTTTTTGTTTCAACAATTGTAAAGTAAACTAAATAAGGAATATTCATTCCTATAATCATCAAAACTGCTACCATGACAGCAATTTTCGACGCTCTCAGTGTACTTCGATTGCGCCGCGTAGCGGCTCGACACGACATTAGATATCGGTCGATGGATGCCAAGCAGATACATGTGATAGAAGTGAGAGAGCCTATGTAAGAAAAAAACAGTCGGCTTTTGCACCAAACGATGTTTGTCGATGATGCATCGATGTTGAAGCCTATGGACAGTACTCGTGGAAGAAGACCGGTGGAGAGAGTGATTATATTGAAAAACGAAGAGATTAACAAGAAAAATGAACATGGTATCGAACGAGCAGAGAATAATACACCAAGATTGATCAGATTTCCGATAGTACCAAGACAAAAGATAGGCAAGCCAGCGTAGATGCTGAACAGGTTGCTTGCAAGCGAATATGTTGTTGATGGCATGATTTAATAAGAAGGTGAATGTGAGTTACAATATTTTAATGTAAAAATGAATTCTTACCGATACATCTGTCAACAACTAGTTTCTTCCGATGACAAGATTGACTTAATATAAAACTCTGTTGCAGTCATCTTACAGGATACCAACGTATAAACGAGATGAAAATAGGAATTATCATGTCAACACCCACCTAAATTCTCCTACTTTTACAAGTATAGAATGTGATGTCGATACTCGTGACAGAACTAATCTCTGTCTAACAGTTCCTACAGAGAAAAGCCACCAACAGATAATGTACTGCAATATCAGACGAATTTTACTCCAGATACACATGGAGACAAATAGTTCTCTTCTTGTTTATATAGATTGATCAAATGAAGACCGTACCAGTTAAAATTATATTTTTATATTCACTACGGCTGATTGAATACAAGAGACTGCTGTAGAAGAAAGGCTCAGTTACGAAATAGAGATTGGTCACAGAATGGATTCGATCCCATCGCAGCTTCAAAATAAAAATCTCTGTGATACAAGAACAGAGACATATCACATTAATACGGCATGTTTCAAAATATGTTTCACCAGACTTTCTTCAAAACAGATAACAAACCAATTGAATTGCTTCTAGAGGTGATACATTTACGTTCATTTAAGATTAACGGTTTCCCATCAATCCGTTAACTTCGACATAATAAATTCATAAGCATACTGATAATAATGTTAATTTGCCTGTTGTTAAACTTCTCTTTACACAAGTAAATCAACACGTATGCGATAAATACTGTGTAACCGTAAATTCGAGTGAGAACGGGAACGATGATGAAATTGTCTCTACAATGACACCATCGCAATCGACAAGATAATTATGTACGACAAAAACAGATCTGAATATGAACGATATACATCCTGATAAGCGTACTGCAGCAATACTGAGATCTTAGATCCCAAACCTAGAATCGGGCTCAAATTTTAATATCACGCAAATTTTGAGCACATTTTCAATGCAACTGTTCTGTTGGGTGAGCAGATCGTGAACTGAGTCAAGAAGTGTAGTATTCCAGCGACTGCAACTCGATTGGATAAGCGAATCCACCTGTGTCGTTAATGGTGGCCACTGTATTTCGAGTGAGGATTGTTATAATAATACGACTAATGATTTTAAGTGTAATTGAACTAGTCGAGAAATCAGGTACGTTTTCTTTTGAAGCCGTGATCTCAAATGACTGGTTACAGTTTTAAAGTGTCGATTCATCAATTGATTTCGTAAAGTTCCCCTTACATAAGTCATATATCAGAATGAAAATCTTGAACGTGACTTGGTATTATAAGTGATCATGGTTACTATTCAATAGGGTAACATGTGTTGCTAATATTTATACTCGATTTATTCACATTCACGCCGAACAATGAGATTGATAACTATTTATTTAAAATTTTCAAAAAAGATTAAATGTGAATCCGCACTTTCAAAAAAAGTAGATGTACTTCATTGTTCTACGCAGTGTTCAGTAAAGGATCGTATGTGTTTTCGCTTTCAACTTTTACGTCAGTTCCAGTAACGTTCATTGCTACCAGTGGTGTTAAAAATTCTCGTGGTGAATACGATCCGTTACGCGTATTTTGTGCACCAAAATACTGAATTCGTCTCTGATGAATCATTTCGCTCAATTGTCCTGCAAATTCTCTTGCAATCGCCGTTTTAAACATCACTCTTTTCAAGCCAAAAGTGCCTCTCAATGTGATACATTTCNGCTGCGAACTTCATTTTGGTCATCGTCACAAACATACAGATATCCGTCTTTATCTATTGCTAAACTTGAACATCGGATGTTTTCGATGAGAATATCTTGTTGATTTCGGTCCCACCACCGAATCACTCGTCTATTCCATGAATCAGCAATGATCAAAGAATTATTTTGTTTATCAACAATCACACCTATCGGATAGTTCAATTGATTTAATCTACTTCCTTGACCATTTTCACCTATAATAACTGTGCCTTCATGTCCATCTGGTTTCCATTCAACAATTCGATTATTTCTCCAATCCGCTATGAAAATATGTCGACTATCATCAATGAAAATGCCTTGAGGGCCATCGAGCTGATTCAATTCGCGTCCTCCTCCATTTCCTCCCGCCATAGTTTTTCCAGATTGTCGCCATTTGTTGAATTTAACTTCTAAATGAAAACACCTGCAACTATCAGTTTTGATCAGTGAAGAAATCAGAATCAACTGACGAGATGCTTTCGAAATAGTTGAAATTCGAGCCGAGAGAGGTTTTCTTTCTCCTGAAATTGCTAGTTTTTCCATCAATGCAGGAAAAACATCAAAAGGTGGAGTTAATGTTTCATAAGGAGGAATTTCTTCTTTCAGATGGACAATGAATAAACCGTTTCCTGCATTCCACTTGTCCACAACTTTGAAATAAGTTCCCGGAAGAAGAAGAATTTCTTCTTCATCTTGAAAATGCGAATGAGGACGAATCGGCTTGCCATTGAAACATTCGATATTAAAAATCGTTCGACTTCCATGTGTTCCGATGAATGCCTCCATGACATTTAGTTTTTCTGTGCAAGAACTCAATCCCCACCAAATGTGATCTTCATCATAGTCATTACTGAGATTTTGTCGAACACCTCGATAAACGATTCCTCGAATTGATCGCAGCTTGAATAAAGCTGTGAAAAATAGCTTCAAATAATGAAACCAAACTATTAATGACTCTCGATTTTTCGATCTAAGTCTCTCGTTCAACAATTGGTATAAGCTCGCATGAGGTTGAGACCATTGCATTGTATAAAGATGGATTGAAGCTGATTCGTCCTGCGTGAGTGCATCCGAAGGTCTTCGACAACTTCTCAGTGCGATTTCGACCATTGTATCACAGTTGAAGAGTAAAGATTTGATTGGTTCGACTGAGGCTTTCAATGAAACAAGGGGATATTTTTCATAGTCAGCGATCGGCATTAAATATTGATCAGGTTCTTTATCTGCATCGAGAAACCGTTGAGGAATGAGTCTTTCAGCCATCATACAACCTATGTAATGCGTTTCAGTTGCTTCAAAAGTAGCTATATAACAGTATTTACCAAATGATAAGGCTTAAGTTTTTTATAACGAACGTTGTTCTCGAAAATTCTTGACTGAAAAAATGCCTACAGTTGTGAAGTATACTCAATCAAGCAAAAAATATTTTGCAAGCACACTATTTGCCAAAGGAAGATATAAAATAAGAGTTCTATCGCAACACATTTTATAGATGATTTTACATTTTTATTTCGTAAAGAAATGACATGTAAAATACAGCTTTGTCGTAATGTTTCTGATGAGGTCTGGTTTTTGCAAGACATAGTTGCTAGCGCACTCGGAATTGATCCGAAGATGATGAAAATATCTTGCGCAACAAACATGGAGTATTTGACCGGTGTCAGATGACTTACATATGACTCATTATTGGAGATGGCGATTGGCGTGTGTTCTGCGTTAAAATAAAATATAATATTAAAGAAGCACACGTTGTTCTCAGTGATGCATAACAAAACGAGCCCTTTGATAAACGAAATACCTCGCTTGTTTTTATTTTCAAAACTACATCCACGAATATCGAATGCGAGCAGTCCCTATTCAATAAAATGGCAAATATAACATCGATAAAAACAAGCGCGGGTGGCTCGATTCCAGTAGCAACTCAATTATGGATGTACAAGTGTCCTACTTGTGATAAGGATATTGTTTCTTATACTTTTACTCCAAGTACAAACAACTGGATTATGAATACAACGAACAATGCAACAATTTATGGTAATGCAATGCTCGAGCCTCCTGAAATCAACTGCGCCGAGCATGATCAACGGGTTCAACTTCGGTCATTAACTTTTAATTTTTAACTAAAAATTTTCTGAAACACGTTCATTAATCGAGATTTTCCACAATACATTATTTGTAAAAATTGATTCAAGCTATGCACCTTTCGCCTTGTTCTCTTGTCATAATTCCAAGAGGACTATTCCATTGTTTGGGTACTTGATGAAGCAGAACCAATTTTACAAAATTCTTACGATATGACGATGCTGAAATGAGATAGACATAGAAATTTGATGCATAACTAACATATAGAATAATATTTCCGATATCAGAAGCTAACGTTTCTTGTGCTACTTGAATCGATGTTTTAACTACTGATGATGTGATTGTTAAATAAATATTCATCGTTGCAAATGGTACGATTGGAATGACAACGACGAAGATTTGTAAGAGAATCATCGAGGTTAAATTTCGTTGAAATGTTCCACGTAATCGAACCCCAGTTATTGACGTAATGTTACGATAAGTGAAGAAGCCAGTGCTCATCAATGTTATGCCAGGCAGAATACTAAGAAAAATCGGTCGAAGAACATAGTTTTCATACAGAACAAAGTTGGAATTTGTCAGTGAACATCGTTTTGTAATATTTCCAGTTGCTGTTTTCGTTTCGACAATTGTAAAGTAAACTAAATAAGGAATATTCATCCCTATAACAACTAAGACTGCAATCATGATCGCAATCTTCGATGCTCTCAGTGTACTCCGGTTGCGCCATGTGACATCTCGACACGACATTAGACATCGATCAATCGATGCAAAACAGATGCATGTGATAGAAGCGAGAGTACCTATGTAAGAAAAAAATAGACGACTTTTGCACCAGATAGTATTTGTTGATGAGGCATCGATGTTGAAACCAGTGGACAGTACTCGTGGAAGAAGACCGGTTGAGAGAGCGATTATATTGAAAAACGAAGAGATTAACAAGAAAAATGAACATGGTACTGAGCGAGCTGAGAATAATACACCAAGATTGATCAGATTACCGATAATGCCAAGGCAAAAGATAGGCAAGCCAGCGTAAATGCTGAACTGAGTGCTTGCAAATGCATATGCTGTTGATGACATGTTTGATGAGAAAGTAAATGTGAGTTCAAGTATGTTGATGCAAAGATGAGTTGTCAACGATACATCTGTCAACAACTGGCATCACTCGATGGCAAGATCAGTTTAATATAAAATTCTGTTAGTCATCTGACAGCCTTAATTTTCTTAGAGGAAACCAACGAATACGTAAGAAGAAAATAGGATTTATCATGTCAGCACCCACCTAAATCTTCCCACTCTCACAAGCACAGAATTTGATATCGACTCTCGTGACAGAACTAATCTCTGACTAACAGTTTCTACAGAGAAAAGCCACCACCAGATAATGCACTGCAATGCCAGGCAAATGTTACTCCAGATACACATGGAAACAAATAGTTCGCTTCTTGTTTACATAGATCGATCAAATGAAGACCGTACCAGTTAAAATTATATTTTTATATTCATTACGGCTGATTGAATGCAAGAGACTGCTGTAGAAGAAAGGCTCAGTTACGAAATAGAGATTGGTTACAGAATGAATTTGATCCCATCGCAGCTTCAAAACAAAAATCTCTGTAATACAAGAACAGAGATATCACAGTAATACGGCACGTTTCAAAATATGTTCCACCAGACTTTCGTCAAACAGATAACAAACCAATTGAATTGCTTCTGAAGGTGATACATTTACATTCATTTAAGATGAACGGTTTTCTTTCAATCCGTTAACTTCAACATAACAAATTCATTAGCATGTTGATAATAATGTTAATTTGCCTATTCTTAAACTTCTCTTTACACAAGTAAATCAACACGTATGCGATAAATACTGTGTAACCGTAAATTCGAATGAGAACGGGAACGATGATGAAATTATCTCTACAATGACACCATCGCAATCGACAAGATAATTATATACGACAAAAACAGATCTGAACATGAACGATATACATCCTGATAAGCGTACTGCACCAATACTGAGATCTTGGATCCCAAAAATTTTAATATCACGCAAATTTCGAGCACATTTTCAATGCAATTGCTCTGTTGGGTGAGCAGACCGTGAACTGAGTCAAGAAGTGTAATATTCCAGCGACTGCAACTCGATTGAGTAAGCGAATCCACCTGTGTCGTCAATGGTGGCCACTGTATTTCGAGTGAGGATTGTTATAATAATACGACTAATGATTTTAAATGTAATCGAACTAGTCGAGAAATCAGGTACGTTTTCTTTTGAAGCCGTGATCTCAATTGACTGGTTACAGTTTTAAAGTGTTGATTCATCAATTGATTTCGTAAAGTTCCCCTTACATAAATCATATATCAGAAAGAAAATCTTGAACGTGACTCGGTATTATAAGTAATCAAATGGTTACTATTCAATAGGGTAACATGTGTTGCTAATATTTATACTCGATTTATTCACATTCACGCCGGACATTGAGATTGATAACTATTTATTTCAAATTTTCAAAAAAGATTAAAAGTGAATCCGCACTTTCAAAAAAAGTAGATGTACTTCATTGTTCTACGCAGTGTTCAGTAAAGGATCGTATGTGTTTTCGCTTTCGACTTTTACGTCAGTTCCAGTAACGTTCATTGCTACCAGTGGTGTTAAAAATTCTCGTGGTGAATACGATCCGTTACGCGTATTTTGTGCACCAAAATACTGAATTCGTCTCTGATGAATCATTTCGCTCAATTGTCCTGCAAATTCTCTTGCAATCACCGTTTTAAACATAACTCTTTTCAAGCCAAAAGTGCCTCTCAATGTGATACATTTCCTTTTGCTCAAGCTCCATAAACACACGACGAGGACCATGCCGAAGACGATGAATGTTATTCCCAGTGGTCGAAGCCATTGTGTTTCGTAAATAAAACCATATATACAAGAAATGATTCCTACGAGTAATACAGTTATCGAGAGAAACGTGAGTTTCTCATCGAGACGTGTTTCGTCGATGCGATCAATTGAATCGAGTATGATCGAAGAATAAGAAGAACGATTAACACAACCACAAATCGTCGCTTTCCAACGAATTAAGAGCCGAAAATTAGTAACAATAACTATTGCTTTGTTTAATTGGGAGCGTTCACGACCTCTGTATTTACCCACAATTACTTCACCACCGGACAATGCAGGAAATCTAGTATCGTTATCCATCGTCGATTTGAGCACTAATAACTGTATAAATTGAAAGTTGTATGAGTAATTGATATTCCCAATTCTTTCAATACATTTGTGCACTAGCTTATCTTCGACGTATGGATATTTATATGAGTAAGCACGGAACCTTGATCTATAACATGATCGAATGAAGAGAAGAGAAAAGAAAAAGATAATTGTAACAACTTTCTTTGTTTGGATAATTAATTGGAGAACATACAACTTTAACTTCGCTGGGGCTTATATATAGGTTCAGTCCGGGATACAATTAACTTGTAGAAGGGGTTCAGGAATTCAGATAAAGAGGGCGATATTGGAAGAAATATCTCTGGATATGTGTATGAAATCGTTGACTTGCTCCAACTTAACTTACTCGACAGCTGCTTCCTTTTTCTCACTTATTCTCCTTCCTTTTATATTTCTCCTCTCCTTCGTTTTCGTTCTTTACACATATTCAAGTGCTTCACATTATCTAATAGAGAAAGAAGATTCTATTGTACTACGTCTTTCTTCATTTCGAATGATCAAATTTAATCGAGTGGTGCCATAATCATGAAATAGAAAGTGACCTGATCCAAGAATACCACGCGGCAGCATACGGCAATACGAACCTCTACAAAACTAAAGGATGTATATCCCGTTTTGTGAAAGAAAGGGTTATAGCTGCGTTAAAACTGGTTAAAGTTTGTTGGTTTGTCCAAGCCAATCAGATTGCAGCATTTCATNGTCGATGCGATCAATTGAATCGAGTATGATCGAAGAATAAGAAGAACGATTAACACAACCACAAATCGTCGCTTTCCAACGAATTAAGAGTCGAAAATTAGTAACAATAACAATTGCTTTGTTTAATTGCGAGCGTTCACGACCTCTGTATTTACCCACAATTACTTCACCACCGGACAATGCAGGAAATCTAGTATCGTTATCCATCGTCGATCTGAGCACTAATAACTGTATAAATCGAAAGTTGTAGGAGTAATTGATATTACTAATCCTTTCAATACATTTGTGCACTAGCTTATCTTCGACGTATGGATATTTATATGAGCAAGAACGGAACCTTGATCTATAACATGATCGAATGAAGAGAAGAGAAAAGAAAAAGATAATTGTAACAACTTTCTTTGTTTGGATAATTAATTGGAGAACATACAACTTTAACTTCACTAGGGCTTATATATAGGTTCAGTCCGGGATACAATTAACTTGTAGAAGGGGTTCAGGAATTCAGGTAAAGAGGGCGATATTGGCAGAAATATCTCTGGATATGTGTATGAAATCGTTGACTTGCTCCAACTTAACTTTCTCGACAGCTGCTTCCTTTTTCTCACTTATTCTCCTTCCTTTTATATTTCTCTTCTCGTTTGTTCTCGTTCTTTACACATATTCAAGTGCTTCACATTATCTAATAAAGAAAGAAGATTCTATTGTACTACGCCTTTCTTCATCTCTAATGATCAAATTTAATCGAGTGGTGCCATAATCATGAAATAGAAAGTGACCTGATCCAAGAATACCACGCGGCAGCATATGGCAATACGAACCTCTACAAAACTAAAGGATGTATATCCCGTTTTGTGAAAGAAAGGGTTATAGCTGCGTTAAAACTGGTTAAAGTTTGTTGGTTTGTCCAAGCCAATCAGATTGCAGCATTTCATAAATCAATGAAAACTTAACGATGTTCCTTACAAAGTGATTCTTGCAAGGTAATCGAGGTCAAGGATCTTGAATCTGATGTTAGCTTCTGGGAATTTCAATTCGCTAATTAGCTAATTAAGCAATGAAAACTTTTCGGGTTGTCGAGTGAGCGTTGATTGAAGGGTAATCGAGGTCGAGGATCACGAATCCGAGGTTAGTATTGCTTAATTAATTATTAATTTTTCATTAACTGGCCACGACTTATTAACATCCGTTTCCAGAGTAGACCGAAGGATTTCTGCCGTCGGGAAATTCGAATTTGAGGGCGAATTTTGTTTTATTCGATGAGCCTGGGCTTATTCCTTCCTCTTTACAAACGAGATATTTTTCTTTATCTGTTCTAAAATCTTTTGTAGAAGATGGTGAGCTGAACGCTATTCACGGACATCATGTGTACAAAGATAGCAGCTCAAGAACTTACACGAAAAGATCTAATGCATTGTACATAATGATGTTTCTAATTGAAGAAATCCGAAAAAGTGATATGAGCTTAGTTTCATCTTTGCTTTGTAGCCTACATACATCATACTCTTTCATGGGAATTTAGTAGAAGTGGTTCGCAAAGTGATATACCCGTCGGCGGAATTCCATCTTAGTAACTATAGACGCGTGGACTATACAAACAGTATTCTGAACACATGCAACGCTATGGAGATGTTCGCTTCGAAACAAATCATACAATAAGAATTTCTTATCTAGTTTCTTTTGGTAGTCGAATGAATAGAAGATCATGACTGTCGAAGTGACAATGAAAGAAAACCCAGTCGTTCAGTTTGAAAGTGGATAAAAAACGAAAGGAATAACAGAGACAGCATGACAACGGCTAGCCGTGAGTGACCGACCGGAGTGAGGTCGACGAACGACTAGGCGTTTAAATGTTAGATTAATCCTAAAGTGTACGCTTAGAATAACCTTGCCAGGCTTCAGATAATTTTGAAAAGGATTTGACGAATGGATATTCCTCAATGAAAATATTCGACAAGGTATCATTTCGTTGACAGGAGAGAAAAGAATCGGTTTATCGCTGGCAGACACAGACGAATGTTCAAAATTTTCAAGTGGTCTACTGTATATCGTCCGTCTATGAGTGACTTAGTAAAGCATTTATGAAAATTTGCGTGCGCGTGATGTGAAAAAAAGAAAAACAGACGAGAAGGTCAATGGTTGGCCGTGTGACTAGCCGTTAAGCGATGCATTTTTCAGTCAACATAGATAGTGCTGGAGAATTATCCACTGACAAATGACTAATCGGTCAGATTCCTAAAAAGACCTCTGTATCCTATTCATTCTAGTTCTAGTGTGTGGCATAGTGCCATGATTCAGTTGAGCACCAGTAGCAATCGCAGTGCGTTTTTTCTCTTTCGAAGTCCTTGAATGTGTTCAGCATCCGGAAAAGTCTTTCAGAAAAGGGTCAGCGAATCCAAAGGATGAGCGTTACTTGTACTATAAATATCATTACTCTTTTTAAATAAAAGTTCACTGCATTAATCTCTTGTATGTAAAAGAAAAAGCTTACACAAATTTTTTTCTCGCCATGATTCTGTCAATTAAAATAAATTTCGTTATGACAATGACCCAAATTGAAAATCAATGCCTTCCGAACACATATACTTCATTCGTCAATAGATGATTATTATAGATGCGTAAATACATAGATTTGTTCCAACATCGCTCGCTAATCCAATAAACTAACTATATATTGACGAATTGTATCATCATAGAGCTCTATATTTTAGTTGGTGTCAATAACAACGTCGACGTACACATTAGACTCCGCAATTTCCAATTTAAAATATGTCATTTTTTATCGTTCTTGCCCTACATCAGACGAATTATTCAAAAGTTTTTTTTTGTCAGAGTCAAGTGTAACACGCTGACGGATCGTCCTGACATACCATTGTTACCTTTTCATGTACTCTGATTACATATTTTTGGAAGTTTGATTGCCGAGGAAAAAAACAACAATTAAGATTACTCATGTTTCGTTCACATGGACAATCGTTGTGACAGAATAAACTTTACTTCAGGTGAAAGAATCCATTGACAACAACGATAATGGATGCGCGAATCAACTTGCGTTATGAGTGATAACTATCGTGTATTTCGAGTATAGTTCAACGTCATAACGTGGCTATTTGTAAGTCTTATTGAACTTGCTAAGAAATCAGATATATGGTATTGACTGTGCAAAATTGTATTTCATACATAAAGTGCACATTATGTTGAGAATCTCCATTGTGACTAGTTTTACATAATTTCTGTAAATAACGCTGATCAACATTAATATATTTCACGCTAAAAACGGGATTGATAACTATTTATTTCAAATTTTCAAAGAAGATTAAAAGTGAATCCGCACTCTAAAAAAAAGTAGATATAGTTAATTGTTCTACGCCATGTTCAGTAAAGGATCGTAGATGTTTTCGTTTTCAACTTTTACGTCAGTTCCAGTGACGTCCACTGTCCCCAGTGGTGTTGAAAATTCTCGTGGTGAATACGATCTGTTATGCGCATTTTGTTCAACAAAATATTGAGTTCGTCTCTGATGAATCATTTTGGTTAATTGTCCTGCAAATTCTCTTGCAATCGCCGTTTTAAACATAACTGTTTCCAAGCCAAACGTGCCTTTCAATGTAATATATCTCTTTTTGTTCGAGTTCCACAAACACACGACGAGGACCATGCTGAAGACGATGAATGTTATTCCCAGTGGTCGAAGCCATTGTGTTTCGTAAATAAAGCCACATATACAAGAAATGATTCCTACGAGTAATATAGATATCGAGAGAAACGTGAGATTCTCCTCAAGACGTGTTTCGTCGATGCGATCAATTGAATCGAGTATGATCGAAGAATAAGAAGAACGATTAAAACAACCACAAATCGTCGCTTTCCAACGAATTAAGAGTCGAAAATTAGTAACAATAACTATTGCTTTGTTTAATTGAGAACGTTCATGACCTTCGTATTTACCCACAATTATTTCACTGTCAGACAATGCAGGAAAACTAGTATCGTTGTCCATCGGTAATCTGAGTACTAATGACTGTATAAATCGAAAGTTGTATGAGTAATTGATATTGCCAATTCTTTCAATACATTTGTGTACTAGTTTATCTTCGACGTATGGATATTTATATGAGTAAGAACGGAACCTTGATCTATAACATGATCGAATGAAGAGAAAAAGAACAAAGTCAGGTGCGGATTATCTCCCACATGCGTCGCTGCTACTTCGTGATGAATAGAATAAGAGCAGCGAACATAAGTCGTGACCGTAATGTCTGATAATTTTAGTTCGACGAGCAGTTGGAGTCAAATGAGAATGTACGTGCACTTTGTAATGATTTGTATGGAAGACGTGTTATCATCTATGACAGTACAATTTCGGTTATTTCTTGTAACGAAGAATGGCAACTTTTATATACAAAAATATACGTATTTAAATATACAACCAAAAAGAAAGGATCAGAAGAACTACGACGAACGTGTAGATGTTATCTACACAGATATTGCTAAACGCTGATTTTTTTACAGTCGTCTGTATTTTTCTCAGTTAAGCATGTATATCTTAGTTAAAAGCGAAAGAATATGTTTGCTCGTTCAGTGTATTCTTTATTTAACTGTTACTTGCTTAATGGTGATACATTTCGGAGTTCGGATAGAGTTATCCCTACGTCTCTATTGGCTTTTCGTCTGTCGAATCTATCAGTGGCTGATTAAATTTTGTCAGCTAAATCGTGTAGGATTAATATCATCAGATGTTTAATACCTTGTTATTTTCGGTTTTATTTTCAGCGGTTCTGGAAATTTCCGTATTCACAATTACAAAGACTGTGTCTCTTATGAAGTATGAGTGGTACAATTCCTCGATATATGTTGAAGTTGCTGATGAAAAGTGGTTTACTTGTGTCTGTGGTTTTGAGCTTTCTGTTAGCAAATGCGTGATGAGTAGCAAGGCAGTAAAATAAAAAAACAAGCATAAGCGTGAAAATAAATGGAAATCATTATCAGATTGAATTTTATATTATCATTTGTTTTTCTTTTGAAACGTTCTATTTTGAAAAATTCTATATAACTACATGGCTTGTGCATATTATAAAATCATGAAAAATAAGAATATGATGATTTAATACTAAGTAACACTAAAAGGTTCGAGTAAGAATTTATTCTCTGTTTTCATCTTCTTGTAGACAGGATCTAAACTAGGGAGCGTATGTTATATCTAAGTGTTCATTTCAATTGTTGTGCTGGTACACCTGACCAATCCGTGTTAAATGGCAGTTCATCGTTCTTCATTACTAATGTGTACGGCAAAAGTCGATTTTGCCCATGAAGAATTGCGCCGGAAAGCACCATCGAGTAGCTCATAAGTACCGTCGATTGATGCACAGTAGCGAATGCTAATTTGAGGATGCGCTGCTCGAATGTATGACACTGAAGTAGTACAAAAGTCAAAATAGAATAAATAAGACAATAAAATTGATCAGAATCTTGAGGACGTTAGTATATACGTAGATGAAAAATAGCAACTACACTCATACTCTCACGGGAACCTACAGTCACGGTGCCTACGTTAAAAGCTATGTATCTCTACCATAGGATGAAAGTCTAACTCAACGACTCCAAGTGTGCAGCACCATTGAAATTTACCTGAATCGAGGCCTCCATATGGAACCGAACATGATCGTCGATAAAGACAAGTTGAGGGTCAGTAAGACAGTCAATATCAAACAGAATAACATCACTTGCGATTCGAGCGCCCAATCCACGAAAGAGAAAAACCAGAAGCTGTGTTCGTGCCAATAATGGACATATCAATATCTTAAAGTCGATAAGGAACGCGCTAAGAAAGTATTGAGTGGTCGTCATAACGTCGGAGAAAGTGAAAGTGGTGCTGGTTCGTTCAACAAAAGCTGAATAACGATACACTGCACAAAAGAAAACTGCATGCACAAGCGGCGCAACAGTAATTGGCAGTAACACGTAGATGCTAACGAACACAAATTTACCAATTAAAAAAAATACGGAAGTCTGTATGAGGTGGTAAATCAGTGACGAATCACGTAATAACGATTTGTGGTCTATTGGTATTTGCTGAGCCCGATGGAATGGCATTTGTTGGCCAGGTATACCGAGCAGTATGATGTTTGAAGCAAGGCCATCGGTTTTTCTCGTAACTAGAGTAAAGTTACCTACCGTTATGTTCGATGCAAGATGTGCACCTGGTATGAGCGTACATCCATTGCCTAAATTTGTGTCAGAGCCAACATGAATAGAATCGATACAGCAGTCATGTTCGTGTGCCATTTCAAATGGAGCAATCATTACTTTGTTGAAGGTTGTTGCACCACGTCTAGCTGTAAACAGATTCGATGGAAAATACAAAAAGGTATGAAATTCAGCTAGTTTTACATCATCTTCAATATGTCCTCCAAGCCAACGAAGAATATAGACCGAAAATATACTATACTTAGGAATGAATGCGAATGACCAATAGAATGTTGATACGATGAGCCGACGCAGCCATATCTTGTGCAAATAATAATAAGAATTAAGTGAATATTGTCCAGGTACAGCATGGCCTACGACGAACTTTAGTAAGACCAAAGAAACAAATAGACTAACGAAAATCCAAAAGAGCCAAGTCAGAGCAAGTTGAACAGATAACGGCGCAAATGAAATAGCTCGACATTGATACACACGATACGTTAACGCGAGCAATATATAATGAATTAGCAAAACGCTCACTACACACGAAAACTGATAGAGACGTTGTTCTTGTGATAGTATTCGGTTCTCACTGAATATACACTTATGTGGCGCCGTCACATGACCCGCGATTGCCGACATGGGCTCGATGCAAACATAATCGTCGATATTTACCCTTTCGTAAAGAACGCAGCGCACGCCGATCGAACAATATGATCCAATCGAGATCGGGTAAAGTTTGTACGTGCGATCATAGAAGGATAAACTCGAAAGTATTGTTTCATTACCAATGACTGTCGAACCTCCTACTTCAAGCAGCCAAGGAGCATCTATTCGTGTTGTATATATATGACAATGGTGACCAATGTGCGCCCCACAAAGTCGAAGGCATGAATTGTAGAGCGAAGTGCCTACTAAATGCTGTAACCAGTAACAATTGTTAATCGACCATAGCCTATCTAAGAACCACCAGCTGTAATAGCTCCAAGAATAGAGCTCATCGGTTGTCCCAATAACTGACCAAAACTGGCAAAACAAACGTTGACATACGACATAGCATAGTAGGTGAACGATTGGAACAAGAAAGATTGCTAATGATGAATTAAGTTGACAAAGAAATAATATTGGACTGAGCCATTGCACAGCGAGCAACAGCACTCCAATGGTTTCAATACACAATGACGGTTTCAATCGACAATGGCAATCGTCATCATTTGATTGCATTGCTGCTGGAATGTCCAATTTCTCCTCTCGGTCAGCTAACAAGCGTTCAAGAGCATGCGCAAGTTGTCGTACTGTAGGATTTTCGAACAAAACTCCAATTTGAACTTTAGGGTAAATCCGTTTTCTAATAAGTGATAAAGCCTGAATAACATCTAGTGATGTGCCACCGATTTGTCTGAAAGATACATCTAAACTTAGTGATTGAGCATGAAATGCTTGTGTGAAAATAGCATAGACTTCTTGTCCTAAGGGTGATAACGTTGATTGCTCGACAGAACTCGTATTGTTTGAAACAGCAGGTATGATAGGTGTTGGAAGGGATTTCCGATCTATCTTTCCATTGTTATTCAATGGTAATTGTTCCAATATGACGAAAAAAGAGGGATGCATGAACGGCGGTAGATGCGATCGACAATGCTGTTGTAATTGCTCTTCTGTAGCATTCAAACTTTGAACGTAAGCTACAATATGTTCATTCCACTTAACGACCACGCAGGCGACGACGCCAGTATCAAGCAAACACTTTTCTATTTCACAAAGCTCGATACGTTGTCCACGCAATTTGATTTGATAATCCTTACGACCAAGATAATGTAAATAACCGCTGTTGTCCATCTGAACGAGATCACCTGTCCGATAAAATGGTTCACCATCGATGTTTACTAATGCATTTTTTGTCAAATCATCCCGACCCAAATAACCGGCAAACACGCCTACGCCTCCCACTAACAGTTCGCCCACTTGCTCAGTAGTAATCAACTGTTGAAATTCGTCGACGACGACACACTGATAGTTTGGCAGCGGTTGACCGATTGGAATACTTTTTCTGTCTGACTGTCTATTCACTAAATGGTATGTTGCATCAATTGTGGTCTCGGCAGGACCATAATGATTCCATATTCGACAGGTTTTCGGAAGTTGACTCACCATAAGGTCCACTAATCTTACAGAGAGAGCTTCACCTAGAACAGTTACAAGCAGACAATATCAGCGCAAATACTAATCTTAGCTACTTACCACTACTGCAGATTGATTGAAATGTCTTTCCAACTGCTGATAAATGCTCTTCTTTCAAAAAGGTAAATATACTTTGCAGTAGAGAGGGTACGACTTGCATGTATGTTATTTGTTTTCTATTGAAAATATCAGCCATATATTCAAGATCTAAGATTCCATCTGGATGAAGCATAACCAAGGTAGCACCGACGATCAATGTTCCAATGAGATCTTTAACATGAATGTCAAACGAGCAACGAGCCATTTGAAGTATAATATCATTCTTGCTAAAACTTCCAACTTCGATCATTGAATCTATACTTGAGCAAAAATTACGATGTCGTACTTGTACCTGAATGGAATAAAATTAATGTAGCATGTTATTTCTTTTTCTCGAGACAGCTTTCGTAACATACCGCTTTTGGTACTCCTGTAGAACCACTCGTGAAGATGACGTAGGCTATGCTGTCAGGAGTTATCAAACAGTCAGGCAGTTGATTGACGGTCGCTATACCGGCACTGAAGTCAGCATTGACTGCATTGTCAACGTTAAATACAGTGCCATCGACCTGAACTTTGCTATGCGTCAAATTGTGAACAAGAATTAGACGACTTTTAGTTTCTTTAATCAGTATGTGAAATCGTTGTGGGGGCCAATCAGGAGAGAGTGGACAATACACAGCACCAACCATTTCAATTGCCATTGCACCAATGACCTACGTCAAAAAGAAAAAAAAGCCGGCTATCACTGCTAAATACCTCATTTTTCAAGTTTACCATGGATATACTGCGTTCCATGCATTGACAGATAATTTTACCAGGAAGAACATTGTATCTATTCAATAAGCTTAGGCCGATTAGTTGAACATAATACAAAAGCTCAGCGTATGTGAGGCATTGTTCATCCAGCTCGACAGCAATTTTTTGCGGATTATGTGCAGCCTTTTCGTTGAATCTTTCGAAAATAGTCTTAGATGTCAACGCCTTCTCTTCACATTGCCTTCTATTTAATTCATGAATTAACTCCGCTTCTCTCGGGAGAATTATGGACATTTTGTACAATGGCGATTTTGACCATTCGTTCGAAGAAAGGAACAACTGTTTAATGAACCTTGAAAAACGCCGGCTTATTCTGTCTACAGTTCCTTGATCAAATAAATCTTTCGAACAGACTAATGAACATGTCATCGCATTGTTCACAGCTGATCCATCATGAACAATCGTGCACATAAAATCAAATTTAGCCACATGCTCGCTTCGCTCCCACGATACTCGATCAACATCAGCTCCAGCGAAATCCACTCGATCAGTAACATCACACAATGTTATGTAATCAAACATGATCTCCAGAAATGGCACGGGTGATNTTATCTGTTCTAAAATCTTTTGTAGAAGATGGTGAGCTGAACGCTATTCACGGACGTCATGTGTACAAAGATAGTAGCTCAAGAACTTACACGAAAAGATCTAATGCATTGTACATAATGATGATTCTAAATTGAAGAAATCCGAAAAAGTGATATGAGCTTAGTATTATCTTTGCTTTGTAGGTTACATACGTCATGTCTTTCCATGGGAATTTAGTAGAAGTAGTTCGCAAAGTGATATACCCGTCGGCGGAATTCCATCTTAGGAACTATAGACGCGTGGACTATACAAACAGTATTCTGAACACATGCAACGCTATGGAGATGTTCGTTTCGAAGCAAATCATACATTAAGAATTTCTTATCTAGTTTCTTTTGGTAGTCGAATGAATAGAAGATCATGACTGTCGAAGCGACAATAAAAGAAGACTCAATCGTTCAGTTTGAAAATCTATCAAAGGCGACAGGAATAAAAGCGACAGCATGGCAACGACTAGGTGTTTAAATGCTAGATTAATCCTAAAGTGTACGCTTAGAATAACCTTGCCAGGCTTCAGATAATTTTGAAAGGGATTTGACGAATGGATATTCCTCAATGGAAATATTCGACAAGGTATCATTTTGTTGACAGGAGAGAAAAGAATCGGGTTATCGCTGGAAGACACAGGCGAATGTTCAAATTTTTCAAGTAGTCTACTGTATATCATCTGTCTATGAGTGACTTAGTAAAGCATTTATGAAAATTTCCATGCGCGTGATATGAAAATAGAAAAATAGATGACACAGGTCAATGGTTGGCCGTGAGTGGCCGTCTGACTAGCCGTTGAGCGATGAACTTTTCAGTCAATATAGTTAGTGTTGGAGAATTATTCACTGACAAATGGCTAATCGGTCTGCTTTCTAAAAAGACCTCTGTATCCTATTCACTGTAGTGTGTGACATAGTGCTATGATTCAGTTGAGTACTAGTAGCAATCGCAGTGCGTTTTTTCTCTTTCAGAGTCTCTGAATGTGTTCAACATTAGGAAAAGTCTTTCAGAAAAGGGTCAGCGAATCCGAAGGATGAGCGTTACTTCTACTATAAGTATCATTACTCTTTTTAAATAAAAGTTCACTGCATTAATCCCTTCTATGTAAAAGAAAAAACCTACACAAAATTTTTTCTCGCCATGATTCTGTCAATTAAAAAAGATTTCGTTATGACAATGACCCAAATTGAAAATCAATGCCTTCCGAATACATATACTTCATTCGTCAATAGACGGTTATTATAGATGCGCAAATACATAGATTTGTTCCAACATCGTTCGCTACTCCAATAAACTAACTATATATTGACGAATTGTATCATCATAGAGCGCTATATTTTAGTTGGTGTCAATAACAACGTCGACGCACACATTAGACTCCGCAATTTCCAGTTTAAAATATGTCATTTTATCGTTCTTGTCCTACATCAGACGAATTATTCAAAAATTTTTTTGTCAGAGTCAAGTGTAACACGCTGACGGATCGTCCTGGCATACCATTGTTAGTTTTTCATGTACTCTGATTACATATTTTTTAAGTTTGATTGCCGAGGAAAGAAACGACAATTAAGATTACTCATATTTCTTTCACATGAACAATCTTTGTGACAGAATGAACTTTACTTCAGGTAAAAGAATCCATTGACAACAACGAGAATGGATGCGCGAATCAACTTGCGTTATGAGTGATAACTATCGTGTATTTCGAGTATAGTTCAACGTCATAACGTGGCTATTTGTAAGTCTCTTATTGAACTTGCTAAGAAATCAGATATATGGTATTGACTGTGCAAAATTGTATTTCATACATAAAGTCCACATTATGTTGAGAATCTCCATTGTGACTAGTTTTACATAATTTCTGTGAATAACGCTGATCAACATTAATAAATTTCACGCTAAAAATGGGATTGATAACTGTTTATTTCAAATTTTCAAAAAAGATTAAATGTGAATCCGCACTCTCAAAAAAAAGTAGATATAGTTAATTGTTCTACGCAATGTTCAATAAAGGATCGTAGATGTTTTCGTTTTCAACTTTTACGTCAGTTCCAGTGACGTCCACTGTCCCCAGTGGTGTTGAAAATTCTCGTGGTGAATACGATCTGTTATGCGCACTTTGTTCAACAAAATATTGAGTTCGTCTCTGATGAATCATTTTGCTCAATTGTCCTGCAAATTCTCTTGCAATCGCCGTTTTAAACATAACTGTCTCCAAGCCAAACGTGCCTCTCAATGTAATATATTTTTTTTTGTTCGAGTTCCATAAACACACGACGAGGATCATGCTGAAGACGATGAATGTTATTCCCAGTGGTCGAAGCCATTGTGTTTCGTAAATAAAGCCACATATACAAGAAATGAGTCCTACGAGTAATATAGATATCGAGAGAAATGTGAGATTCTCATCGAGACGTGTTTCGTCGATGCGATCAATTGAATCGAGTATGATCGAAGAATAAGAAGAACGATTAACACAACCACAAATCGTCGCTTTCCAACGAATTAAGAGTCGAAAATTAGTAACAATAACAATTGCTTTGGTTAATTGAGAACGTTCATGACCTTCGTATTTACCCACAATTATTTNAGTTCCTTGATCAAATAAATCTTTCGAACAGACTAATGAACATGTCATCGCATTGTTCACAGCTGATCCATCATGAACAATCGTGCACATAAAATCAAATTTAGCCACATGCTCGCTTCGCTCCCACGATACTCGATCAACATCAGCTCCAGCGAAATCCACTCGATCAGTAACATCACACAATGTTATGTAATCAAACATGATCTCCAGAAATGGCACGGGTGATGACTTCTGATAGTTCATATCGGCAAGGATGTGTTGAAGAGGATAATGTGTATGTTCGAGAATCGCTAAGCATTGCTGCCGAACATGTTCGACTAGTCGAACAAATGTTTCACATGGATCGAGTCGCATTCGATAAGGCAGTGTGGCAGCAAACATGCCTATCAATTGTCGCACTTCACTTCGATATCGATTTGCACTGATACAAGTCACACACAAGTCACTTTGACCATTGGACAGTTTGAACAGAAATGCATAGAATGTGGCAAGACCCAACTGAAATGGTGTCACTTCGTGTTCGGAAGCGAATGCGAGAAACGACGCGCACAGATCACCATCAAATGTGAATTCAGCTGAGTATACACCACTCGAACGTTCCGTCTCATGAAGACGATGTCGATCGACCGGGAGTGCCACATGATATTCGCTATCATAATCATCGAGCTGAGCACGCCAGAAGTCACGCGATGCTCTCATATCCATCTGACGCTCGTGTGTGGAATAGTCTATGTACTGCAGTGTGTCGGGTTCGATGGGAAGTGCTCGATTCGTATTGTAAGCAAGACACAGGTCATGAATGAAGAGTTCAGTCGAGATGCGATCTGTGGCCACATGGTGGAAAACAAACACGAGCAGATCACGTGGCTTGATATGATCATCATTGGCAATGTTTGATGGTGAGTGATGTCGAAGAATCTCATAGTGAAAAACGCGAGCAGCCGATAAGTCGAACAAGTTCGAACTCGTGGTGAGCGTCTGAAGAAGAGTGTGCAGTTGTTCGTCAGTGTGAAATATCTGTTCGTGAGGAACGATGAAGAGTTGTTGAGTGTTGATGATATGTTGGAAAAGTATGGCTTGATTTGTATCGAAAAGAAGAGAAGTACGTAGAACGGAGTGTTTGTCAAGAAGTGATTTCAATGCTTGATGGAGACGAGCTTTTGACAATGAGCCATGTTTAATTTGTAAAACTAGTAGTTCATTGTAGATGGCATCATTAGTAGTGGTAGATCGAAGTTGTTCGTGAAGATAGATGCGTTCCTGTGCGAATGATGCAGGTCCTAAATGATCAAATATATAAGATTGAATGAGAACATAATTATGTAGCAATGCTTCTGTCAATGAGTGATGCAGAGTTTTTTGGCTGCACGAAGTTCATAATATAGACTTATATGACCAATTCTTCATGGNAACTAGTAGTTCATTGTAGATGGCATCATTAGTAGTGGTAGATCGAAGTTGTTCGTGAAGATAGATGCGTTCCTGTGCGAATGATGCAGGTCCTAAATGATCAAATATATAAGATTGAATGGTGAGAAGCATTATATAAAGGTGAGCTTGAACGTGTTCGTTATTTGATTAGGTGACAGTAGAATAGATGGCAAATTATGATTTATCTAGGATGTATTCAAAGAACTCGATACAAACTTCTGCAATTATGTTGTGAGTTTGAACTAGTCAATTGTGCATGTGAGAACGTATCAATTAAGGATATTAGTCGGTTTTTTGAAGAATGAATCCAGTCGATATAGAACGAATGCCAAACTCACAAGTATAGTCACATTTTGACCATGTTAGAGCGTGCACTATAATTCTCTTTTTTCCTACTCAGAATATATGCCTATTAAGTTAGATCTTCTTCGATCGTGTCTAACAATTATCACATGTTTGCCATTAAGACAACCCATTACCTTCGGTTAGATTTAGAATTTGCCAAGATGTCAACTGATTTTCCACTGGCTTGATCGCCTGCAGTATATCTGCATGTTCACTTATTGTTGTATTCCGTAGGAAAGGTGCAACGGACAGAGTTTGCACGTCGAAACTGAATGCAGACTGATAACAATGGTACAGTTGAATGAGAAGAAGCGAATGGCCGCCAACGCTGAAGAAGTTTGCTAAAGTTGATATCTGTAGTCCATCACGTTGTAAAACTCTGCACCACAAACTATGAACTAGCTCTTCAGTTGGATTTCGTGGCAAACTGTGTCCCCCGATAGTGGACTGGGTTACGGAAGATAAGTTCGGCTTTGGAAGACACTTTCGATCGACTTTTCCATTTGTATTTAACGGTATTTTATCTAATCTGATGAATACTGAAGGCACCATAAATTCTGGCAGTTGAGAACGACAAAAATCGTGTAGCTGTCTCTCATTAATGTCACTACTTTGAACATAGGCTATCAAATAATCTTTATCCCATTTCGTGACTACACACATGGAAATATGAAATGGAGACTCCAATATGCGTCTCTCAATCTCACCCAACTCTATGCGTTGTCCTCGTAATTTTACCTGAAAATCTTTTCGACCAATAAAATGGAACAGACCATTCGAATCCAATTGTACGAGGTCTCCCGTGCGGTAGAACATTTCTCCATTGTTCTCTACTAATCCTTTTGCGGTCAAGTCTGCGCGTCCCAGATAGCCGGCAAAAACACCACACCCGCCTACTAGCAATTCGCCCTCCTGACCGATTGTGACGAGCTGTAGAAAATCATCGACTATTCGCGAACGATAATTTGGCAGAAGCCGTCCGATTGGTACATCATTTGCATTGCTTGCTCCATTAATCAAATGCGCCATGCAATTGATACTAGTTTCAGCAGGACCATATGTATTCCATATTCGAACGTTATCTGGTAAATAACGTCGTATTTTGTTAATTAATGGCATTCCAAGAATGTCGCCTGAAAAGTATGTGATCGAATAGCAGGATCCCATTAAAATCGAACCTACCTCCAATATCCAGTGTGCGTAGTGTGCTTAACTTCGAATCATCACAGCTTCCAAGAAAACTTACAACGCTATCAATATAAGTCGGAACGGTTTGCATGTATGAAACTTGTTTATAGTTTAATACTTTAACTAAGTATTCTAAATACATATTGCCATGTGGACGAAGTAGCACCAGACTGGCACCACCTATTAGTGCTCCTATTGTTTCTTGCATATGTACATCGTACGAGCAATGTGCCATTTGGACGACCGTATCGTTTTCATCAAACAAATCAATACAAATAATTGAATCAATGAAATTGACAAAATTTCGATGTCGCAGCTGAGCCTACAACAACAATTCCACTCAGATCTATATACCACTCGACTGAATTTTTCAACTAACCGCTTTTGGAATACCGGTTGATCCACTTGTGAAAATCACATACGCAATATTCTCCTCGTTCACCTCCACACTTGACAAACGATCAATATCGCTTCCATTATTGAATTCCTCATCATCCATCATCAGCATCTCACAAACATTAATACAAGCATCGCACTCTCTCAGCTTCTCATTTGTTATGTCATCAATCAGAACAACACGACTTTTCGTTTCTTCGATCAACACNTTTGGAATACCGGTTGATCCACTTGTGAAAATCACATACGCAATATTCTCCTCGTTCACCTCCACACTTGACAAACGATCAATATCGCTTCCATTATTGAATTCCTCATCATCCATCATCAGCATCTCACAAACATTAATACAAGCATCGCACTCTCTCAGCTTCTCATTTGTTATGTCATCAATCAGAACAACACGACTTTTCGTTTCTTCGATCAACACTTTCAATCGTTGCTCAGGATCATAAGGTGACAAGGGACAGTACACACCGCCAACCATTTCAATGGCCAGCATACCAATGATCTACAATCAAACATTCATTCTCATCACACATCAACAAAAGCATCTCCTCACCATCCAGATACTTCGCTCCACACATTGACAAATGATTTCACCAACTTTGATGTCATATCGCTTTAGCAAACGAAGAGCCAACTTCTGTGCATTGTACAACGCTTCACTGTATGTCAAACACTGTTCATCGAGTTCAACGGCCACTTTCTGCTGCAGTTCATTGGCTCTCGAAGCGAATCGATGGTGTAAACAGTCAGACGATGCGAATGACATCTGTGTATTGTTGATCGACTGAATCAGTTGCATTTCTTCGGGCAAGATGATGGATAATTCATAGATTGACTTTGTCAAACAATCATTTGTCATGGCAAATAGTTGGTTGAGCATGACACAGTAACGTCGAGCAATGTTCTCGATAGTTCTGGCATCGAACAGATCCAGCGATGCATCGATGACGCACGACAACTGATCAGTTGTTTTATTGTGCTCAATGTTGAATGAAAAGTCGAACTTGCTCACGATTTCGTCAGTGTCAATCTGAATCGAATGAGGAACTGGTAAGAGTGAAACATCACCAAGTTGCACTTGAGTATTGATGCAATCGGATGAAAGCGAACGAAATTCGAAAGCTGTGTCGAGAAATCTCGGTTTGGACGCTTGAGGATGTTGAAGAAGAATGTGTTGAAGAGGAAAATATGAGTAAGTAGAAGTGCGTGTCATCAGTAGATGAACATGATTGACAAGTTGGGGAAATGGCCAATGTGGATCAAGTTGACATCGAAGAGGAATAGCATTGACAAACATTCCAACCAATGAACGAAACTCCTCTTTGTATCGTCCGTCGGTGTTCGTCACAACACACAGATCTCGTTCACCATTGGTTAATTTGAATAGAAAAGCATAGAAGGTGGATAATGCCAGACATTCGACTGTGATGTTCTTGGCGTGTGCATATGCAATGAAGGTTTGTGAAAGGTGTTGATCGAAGTGAAACGAAACAGTTTTGCCACGTCCTGTTCGAAACTCATCCGAGAGACGATGTCGATCGAATGGCAAAGGCATTGTTCGTTGAATGTCACAGCCACGAAGATGATTCAACCAAAAGCGACTTGCATTCTTCATTGTCATTTCTCGTTCGATGGTAGCATCTATACAAGCATATACAATTCATTAGAAATAAGTCAAGAGAAAGAGAGTGAACTCACAATCGAGATAGCGAAGAGCTGTTTCATCATCATTCTCCAGTTGGCCAGTAGTATAAGCTCGATTGAGATCATTGAGAAATGTGTCCACAGAAGCAAAATCAAAGAGAGCATGATGAAAATTGAGAATCACTGCATCGTTCTCTTTGAGACGACCATCTAGACTGATCTTACCGCGGTGAAGAGTGTGACAACGACAAACAAGACCACGACGAAGATCGAAATGAGTTGGGTTGCTACGTTCATCATGCATGATTGTATTCAACTGTTCATGGTTGTGAAATGTACTTTCGACATATGTGAATAGTCGTGTATGGTCTGTGGGATCGAGGACTGTTTGCATTAATAGATTGCGATCGTCGTCAAAATTGAGTGATGTACGAAGTGATTGATGTTTGATGATGACAGATTGTAATGCTTGAAGTAAATGTGGTATTGATAAGGTTGCTGATGGTAAGATGTGATAGAGAAACGGCATATTGTAGATGGCAACTTGAGGTTTGTCTGGATCGAAACGAACCTGTTCATCTAGCCAAATGCGAGCTTGTGCATACGAAGCTGGTCCTA